GAGGAGAAGAAGCCTCTGAGGAAGAGGTTGTGTCCTCGAAACGCGTTAGCCAGTTGGTCATCCAGGGTTCCATCGTATGGACTCAGATGTTGTTTGGATCATACACCTTGTTCAGTTTGACATGCCTGTGTTATTATGTCCATTGTGAGTATGATACCTATTTTGTTTCTTTAAAAAATTATTTTAAACGATGATGCACTGGGTCGGTGCGCCCTTTTTCTGTTTCACCATTTGTATCCATGGCTCTCTCTGCAGCAGCTGAAAGCCAGTGAAGGAGGGAGAGGAGAAGAAGCCGGCTTTCAACAGCTGCAGAGAGAGCCCTACAGGGGATTGGTTCCAGTAATTGCCCCCTCCCCCCACCGTGACACTCACCTTTCCTGCCCACATCTAATTCACCCAATCTGGGTCCCCCAGCTGGCCTGGGCCCCATACAGGAGGACTGGTGGTTCCCCTTTATCCATGGCCCTGCCCATCCACATCAAATGTATGGATGGGAGAATCTGCTTTTTTTTTCTGGTTGAAACTGTTTTTGTTTTTTTATGGGGGCCCTGTCAGGTTGGCTGTATGGGGCCCCATGGTTTCTAACAGCAGCCCCGGTAGCAGACACCGCTACTCCACTTGCTTCCAGGTTCCGTGCCGAGCAGATGACCAACTGCACAGTGAAGGAGGTCGCTCATTTGGCACGGGCACCACTCAGGGAATTATTTGCACTTTCTCAGTGAATGCAAGCATTTTCAGATTAAGCGAGGTGGAGAAGTGGGGTGCTGCTGATGTCAGAACAGGGGCGGACTGACCATTTGGAAACTCGGGGCACTGCCCGCCCGGGGCCCGAGGTCAGTAGTGGGCCCCATGAGATGCCCCTGGTACCTTTTTCATAGGCTTTTTTGAGTTTGGGCAAGGACACAGGGGCCCCATGATCCCCTATTGCCCGGGGGCCCCATGAGTTGTCAGTCCGCCCCTGTGTCATAATCTCCAACTTGTCCATTCAGAGAACGCTTTGCAAGACCCCTGCTTACCCCATCACTGACGATGCACTGCTGGGACAATTGGTTGACGTGAGTCCACACTGCGTTCGGTAATAGTTTATCCGATCCCATTCCTGGTTCTCAAAAAACTGCAGAAGAAAAGTTGACACAAAAAAAAAACAAACTATATTTCACCTCTCAATGTCATTAGGAGACTAAGGCTGGCCATACATTATACCATTTTCTTTTGATGCTTTAGATTTACCAAAAACCATACAGTAGGAGGTCAAACCTGAACAACAATTTCAATTGTATCCAATTAAGCAGGCTCTTGTGCTACATAGTTGATGGAAAATGTAAAGGAAATTGGGCAGAAATTGAACAGAAAACTGTATAGTGTATGGCCAGTCACCAACATTCATCATACTTGGGATCATTTTAAACGGCAAAACCAGAACAAAAAAGGACGTGTTCATTCATATACAGCACACACAGCCAGAGTGGGTGAAATGCCGAGCTACCTCCTGCTCATTACTATTAGGCCTGGTTCACGCCAATGCAGTTTTGTCTATTTTGCATTTCTATTTGTGGTGCGTTTGACGTTGTTTTTTTCCACACGTTTTTGACGCTTCTTTTTTTGGACCAACTTGTTGCTGGGCAGAAGAAAATGCAAAATGTGTCAAAAAACAAACATGCATTCTCTGCAGCGTCTTAACTGAAGTCTAACGAACCAAAAATGCAATGTTTGGCATTTAAAAAAAAGTCCCTGACCCTTTCGAAAAACACAGCAGCTGAAAAAAGCATAAGGGCTCTTTCACACGGGCGTTCCGTATGTCCGTTTTTCATCTGCCCGTTTCAGATGAAATATGGACCCCCATGTATTTCTATGGACTAGCGGATGTAAACGGATGATGCTCTGTTTATATCTGTTCATGTCTGCATTTGTTAACATCCGTTTTTTGGAACGTAAGAAAACCCTATTTTTTGTCCGTTAAAAAAACAGAACGGATGAAAACAACGGATGTAAACGGACAAAAAAACAGATGGAAAAAATGGATGTAAATGGACAAAAATGGATGTAAATGGACAAATGGATGTAAATGGATGAAAAACAGATGTAAACGGACAAAATGGATGTAATTGGATGAAAAACAGATGTAAAAGGACAAAATAGATGTAATTGGATGAAAAACAGATGTAAACGGACTAAATGGATTTAAATGGATGAAAAACAGATTAAAAACGAATGAAAAACAGATGTAAACTGATGTAGATGGACGAAAAATGGATGTAAATGGATGAATACAGATGTAGACATACAAAAAAATGAATGTAAACTGATGGAAAACAGATATGAACTGATCTGTTTTTTCGCTGAAAAAATGTGACTGAACTGATGAAAAAAAACGGAAAGCCCGTGTGAAAGGAACCGAAAAGTGAATGTGTCCCATAGGAAACCATGTTAAATGGACTGTAATGCATTTCTGCAAAAAGCACTAAAATACGTATTGGTGTGAACCAGGCCTAAGCCTTGGAGGCCGCACTCCACACTGATGGGTCAATCACCAGGTGCAGGAGATGATGCAGAGGGGGGGATTTACTAAAACTGAATATGGATGTAAACGGACGAAACATGGATGTAAACGGATGAAAAATGGCTGTAAAAAGACAAAAATGGATGTGAATGGATGAAAAACCGATGTAAACTGACATAAACAGATGTAAACGGATGAAAAATGGATGTAAACCGATGAAACACTGATGTAAACAGATGTAAATGGATGAAAAAGGGATGTAAACAGACAAAAACGGATGAAAACTGATGTAAGAGGACAAAAATGGATGTAAACGGTTGAAAAACGGATGTAAATGAATGAAAAATGAATGTAAACAGACGAAAACGGATGTGAATGGATGAAAAACCGATGTAAACTGACAAAAACCGATGTAAATGGATGAAAAATGGAAGTAAACCCATGAAAAACTGATGTAAACAGATGTAAATTGATTAAAAATGGATGTAAAAGGACGAAAACTGATGTAAGAGAACGAAAACGTATGTAAACGGTTGAAAAACTGATGTAAACTGACAAAAACGGATGTAAATGAATGAAAAATTTATGTAAAACGATGAAAAACTGATGTAAACAGATGTAAATGGATGAAAAATGGATGTAAACAGACGAAAATGGATGAAAACTGATGTAAAAGGATGAAAACGTATGTAAACGGTTGAAAAACTGATGTACACTGACTAAAACGGATGTAAATGAATGAAAAATGGATGTAAACCGCTGAAAAACTGAAAAGATGTAAATGGATGAAAAATGGTTGTAAAGGGATGAAAACGGATGTAAACAGATCTGTTTTTTTCTTGGAAAAACGTGATTGAACTGATGAAGAAAAACAGAACAGCCGTGTGAAAGGGGCCTAAAAGTGAACGTGTCCCATAGGAAACCATGATAAATGGACTGTAATGTTTTTCTGCAAAGAGCACTAAAATACGTATTGGTGTGAACAAGGCCTAAGCCACGGAGGCTGCACACCACACTGATGGGTCAATCACCAGGTGCAGGAGTTGATACAGAGGGGGGATGTCACGGACTGCCAGTGCCTCTCCCATCCCCCGCCATATCCCTCCACCCCTCCCTTCCCCCTTGCACATTCCGAGGTCTGTGGGGCTTCCATGGACAGGGCTGGGCCGGCCGTTGCCGAGGCAACCTAGCCGCGTCCCACATGGTCTTCAAAAGACCCACACAGGAAGCAGCCGTCCTCTCTCTGTTCCTGTCCATGCTGCTGGAATCATCTTGCTCCCAGAAAGATGCCGGGAGGCTCGGGTGAGGGGGACCGAGCCTCCCCAGCCATCCCCCCTGCGCACTCTGCAGACCCCCAAAATGTCAGGACTGTAGCCCTCTGCAATACCCCAGGGTTGGGAGTCTCCACAGCTCTGCATGAGCCTTCTCCTCAAAGGTCAGACCCCACAGCTGAGACCCTGCAAGTCTGTAAGCCTGTCTACTGGGCACCCTTGCACCCTGTCTGCTGCTGAGTGCCCTGGGAGCTGCTGCTGAGGGACCCTGCACACTATCCGTGGCTGCGTGTCCCTGGAAGCTGTCTGCTGCTGTGTGCCCTGAGAGCTGCTGCTGAGGGACCCTGCACACTGTCCGTGGCTGCATGTCCCTGGAGGCTGTCTGCTGCTGAGTGCCCTGGGAGCTGCTGCTGAGGGACCCTGCACACTGTCCGTGGCTGCGTGTCCCTGGAAGCTGTCTGCTGCTGAGTGCCCTGGGAGCTGCTGCTGTCTGCTGATAGCTGGTTGTGCCCCTGGAACGCTTGCCGCTGGTTGTCCCTGTCTGGAGCCGCCTGCCGCTGAGGGTCTGCAAGCTGCTTACCGTGAGTGTCCTGAACTGTCCCCGCTGTGTGCACTGACCACCCGTGTTAAGAACTGAACCCGCTGTGTGCACCGACCATCCGTGTCCTGAACTTTCCCTGCTGTGTGCACTGACCACCTGTGTCCTGAACTATCCCTGCTGTGCGCACTGATTACCTGTGTCCTGAACTGTCCCCGCTGTGTGCACCGACCACCCGTGTTCTGAACTGTCCCCACTGTGTGCACCGACACCCGTGTCCTGAACTGTCCCTGTTGTGTGCACTGACCACCTGTGTCCTGAACTGTCCCTGTTGTGTGCACTGACCACCTGTGTCCTGAACTGTCCCTGTTGTGTGCACTGACCACCTGTGTCCTGAAACTGTCCCTATTGTGCGCACTGACCACCTGTGTCCTGAACTGTCCCCACTGTGTGCACCGACCACCAGTGTTCTGAGCTGTCCCCACTGTGTGCACCGACCACCCGTGTCCTGAACTGTCCCTGTTGTGCGCACTGACCACCTGTGTCCTGAACTGTCCCCGCCCGCTGTGTGCACCGACCACCCGTGTTTTGAACTGTCCCCGCTGTGTGCACCGACCACCCGTGTCCTGAACTGTCCCTGTTGTGCGCACTGACCACCTGTGTCCTGAACTGTGCCTGCTGTGTGCACCGACCACCCGTGTTCTGAACTGTCCCCGCTGTGTGCACCGACCACCACTGTCCTGAACTGTCCCTGTTGTGCGCACTGACCACCTGTGTCCTGAACTGTCCCCGGTGTGTGCACCGACCACCCGTGTTCCGAACTGCCCCGCTGTGTGTGCACTGACCACCCATGTCCTGATGGCATGCCCGGAGTATGGCTACCTGTGGTGTCCCTGAGTGCTTGAGCCATCACTACCCGTTGAGTCCCCGTGAACCCAATGACCCTAGAAAGCTGGGTGGGAGCTGTGCTGTGGCCAGACTCCACAGCTAGAGTCCCGTTGAGTCCCCGAGGCCCCTGCCCAGTAGTAGGTTGCCGCCTGTTGCCCGAGCCCCTGCCCAGGGGTAGATTGCCGCCTGTTGCCCAAGGCCCCTGCTCAGTGGTAGGTTGCCACCTGTTGCCCGAGGCCCCTGCCCAGTGGTAGGTTGACGCCTGTTGTCTGAGACCCTGCCCAGGGGTAGATTGCCGCCTGTTGCCCGAGGCCCCTGCCCAGTGGTAGGTTGTTGCCTGATGCCCCTGCCCAGTGGTAGGTTGCCGCCTGTTGCCCGAGCCCCTGCCCAGGGGTAGATTGCCGCCTGTTGCCCGAGGCCCCTGCCCCTGCCCAGGGGTAGGTTGCCACCTGTTGCCCGAGACCCCTGCCCAGGGGTAGATTGACGCCTGTTGCCTGAGGCCCCTGCCCAGTGGTAGGTTGCCACTTGTTGCCCAAAACCCCTGCCCAGGGGTAGTTTGCTGCCTGTTGCCCAAGACCCCTGCCCAGGGGTAGATTGCCGCCTGTTGCCCGAGGTCCCTGACCAGTGGTAGGTTGCCTCCTGTTGCCCGAGTCTTCAATCCGCTGTCCAGTCATGGAGGGAGCTCGGCTGAGGCCCCAAGCCTAGGGGGGAGACTGCCTGCCTGTCGCTGAAGACCCCCCGTGCCTGGAATCGTCCCTGGTTTGCGCACACATCACCCTCCCTGCCATTTCCCCATTGAGTGTCTGTCCTTTTGTTGCTTCAATAAAGCTTTGTGTGTTCCCCATCTTCTCCGTGTGCTCTGTCCTGCCTGCACTTCCGTTACAGGGGGATTTACTAAAACCGTAGCACTCAGAATCTGGAGCAGATGTACATGGGAGCCAATCAGTTTGTAACTTCAGCTTGTTCAATTTTGCATTGGCAATAAAATCTGGAAGCTGATTGGTTTCTATGCAGAGATGCAGCAGATTTTGCACTCTCCAGTTTTAGTAAATCTCCCCCCAGAGTGTTTCTGGAAGGTGGCTGACATTTCCTCCAGGGGAGCTGAGCTGGTGTGCAGGTAGCAGACATGGCATACCGTCACCATTATAATAACTTTGAAAAAGAAAAAACCCAACAGCACAAAGTCTGCGTCCTTTCATCTGAGTGTCCCTGCAGACTGATGGAGGCAGAATGGCGGAATATACATACCACACAGGCTATAATGTGCTCAGACTGCCAGTCTTCCCGGATTTTATCTAATAGGTTGACATTCTGCTGGTAGGTCTTATCTGAAAAATAAAACGTCATAGATAAGTGTATATCCCCCAATCCATTTATAAATCATTGCAGTTTGAATTCTGGCCAGGACAATATCTGCATGGAGTTTGCATGTTCTCCCTGTGCCTGTGTGGGTTTCCTCCGGGTACTCCGGTTTCCTCCTACACTCCAAAGACATGCTGGTAGGTGAATTGGATCCTGTCTAAATTGTCCCTAGTATGTGTATGTATGAATGTAAGTTAGGGATCGTAGATTGTACACCCCTTGAGGGTTAGGGACTGATGTGGATGTACAATATATATGTAAAGTGCTGTGTAAATTGATGGCACTATATAAGTACCTGAAATAAATAATAAGAATTTATATGATCTCAGCTGTCTTGCTGATTCAATAACGCCAGTGATTTTCCAAAGTAGCGCAGGACTGCCAGGCAGCTAGCATTTTTAAACAACAGCCTTCGTGTTTCTCTTGGCACAGGATTCCTCCAAGGATAAAAAAGACATTTTTGTATGTGCATTCCGGGACTCGTGTTATCACTCATTCCATGAGATTTGTATAGACTCTATTGTACAGCAGTGCTCTCCACACTGCAGCGCGTGGGCCAGTAGGGGCACTATTCCTCCCAGTGACATGGAGGCACTATTCCTCCCACTGATATGGAGGCACTATTCCTTCCACTGATATGGAGGCACTATTCCTTCCGCTGATATGGAGGCACTATTCCTTCCACTGATATGGAGGCACTATTCCTTCCAATGATATGGAGGCACTATTCCTCCCACTGATATGGAGGCACTATTCCTCCCAGTGATATAGAGGCACTATTCCTCCCACTGACATGGACATGGAAGTACTATCCCTTCCACTGATATGAGGCACTATTCCTTCCAATGATATGGAGGCACTATCCCTTCCACTGATATCAGTCACTATTCCAATGATATGAGGCACTATTCCTTCCGCTGATATGAGGCACTATTCCTTCCGCTGATATGAGGCACTATTCCTTCCACTGATATGGAGGCACTATTCCTTCCACTGATATGGAGGCACTATTCCTTCCGCTGATATGAGGCACTATTCCTTCCGCTGATATGAGGCACTATTCCTTCCGCTGATATGAGGCACTATTCCTTCCAATGATATTGAGGCACTATTCCTTCCAATGATATGGAGGCACTATTCCTTCCAATGATATGAGGCACTATTCCTTCCGCTGATATGGAGGCACTATTCCTTCCGCTGATATGAGGCACTATTCCTTCCAATGATATGGAGGCACTATTCCTTCCAATGATATGGAGGCACTATTCCTTCCAATGATATGGAGGCACTATTCCTTCCGCTGATATGGAGGCACTATTCCTTCCGCTGATATGAGGCACTATTCCTTCCGCTGATATGAGGCACTATTCCTTCCGCTGATATGAGGCACTATTCCTTCCGCTGATATGAGGCACTATTCCTTCCGCTGATATGAGGCACTATTCCTTCCAATGATATGAGGCACTATTCCTTCCAATGATATGGAGGCACTATTCCTTCCAATGATATGGAGGCACTATTCCTTCCAATGATATGGAGGCACTATTCCTTCCAATGATATGAGGCACTATTCCTTCCGCTGATATGAGGCACTATTCCTTCCGCTGATATGAGGCACTATTCCTTCCACTGATATGGAGGCACTATTCCTTCCAATGATATGGAGGCACTATTTCTTCCACTAATATGAGGCACTATTCCTTCCAATGATATGAGGCACTATTCCTTCCGCTGATATGGAGGCACTATTTCTTCCACTGATATGGAGGCACTATTCCTTCCAATGATATGAGGCACTATTCCTTCCAATGATATGAGGCACTATTCCCTTCCGCTGATATGAGGCAATTTTTTCTTACGCTGATATGAGGCACTATTCCTTCCACTGATATGAGGCACTATTTCTTCCGCTGATATGAGGCACTATTCCTTCCGCTGATATGAGGCACTATTCCTTCCAATGATATGAGGCACTATTCCTTTCACTAATATGAGGTACTGACATTAACAATAAGGCACTATTCCTTCCACTGACACCAACTATGGGGTCCTATTTCTTCTACTGACACCAACTGTGGGACACAATATTCCTTTCACTGACACCAACTATGGGGCACTATTCCTCCCATTGACTCCCACAATGGGGAACTATTCCTTCCACTGAAACCAACATTGGGGCACTATTACTTCCACTGACACCAATGATGGGGCACTGTTCCTCCTCATACTAACCACAAGCACTATATAATATTTTTTACAGCTAATGACCACCAAGCCTGAGCCACTGTTTACTCACACTGATACTAGAGCATTTTCTACTCCCACTGGCCACAGTCCGGCCCTCCTAAAGTCTGAAAGACAGTGAACTGGCCCTTTGTTTAGCAGGTTTGGAGACCCCTGGTGTACAGTGTGGGTTCCTCTGTACTATGATAGTGCCAAGTTTTCTTATAAATTAGGAATATAAAGTATAGCTCACCTGCATCCTCTAATGTCACCTTGGAATGAGCCAACTTTGCATATATCTGGGAAGAAAACAATATAAATATTAAAGCTCAGAGATACCTGTTTTGGCACCTGGCCAGCATGCTAAGGTTCCTGCAAGTACTGTCACATAGAATGTCAGCTCCCCAGAAGCACCAATACCCCACCCACTATAATGTACACATCTCATCTTTTGTAGAGAAGGGCAAGAGTAGGCCCACCACATCCCCTGGTGCTGCTCAAATGTGATGAGTGGCCTGAGGACCAACAGGTAGTAGGGGGGCCTTCTTCACTGATCACCAATGCAAAGGAACCCTTCTCCCGATGACCACCATTGTAAGGAGGCCCCTTCTCCCACTAACCACCATTGTAAGGAGGCCCTTCTCCCACTGACCACCATTGTAAGGAGGCCCTTCTCCCACTGACCACCAATGTAAAAGGGGGTAATTTTTGTTAAAGTCCACCAATGTAAGAGGGCACTTATCCCACTGACAGCAACATTATTGGGGTCCTTCCACCGACCACCAATGTACGGGGGCAATTATCCCACTGATAGCAAAGGTTTTGGGGTCCTTCTCTTACTGACCACCAATGTAAGGGGCCACTCTCCACTGACCACCAATAGAAGTAAATTCTTCTCTCACTGTCCCAATGTCTTAGAGTCCATTTCCTACAAACAACCAATGTAAGGGGGCCCCCCTTCCATGACCACCAAAGTAAACTGTCTACATTTCTTTTCTGGCCATTATTAATATTATTAGTTTAATTTCAGGATTACTGAAAATCATTTTGTCATACAGAGCAACGAGGAGTTCAATTATCTACTCTGAACATCAGGCATGCCACCATCTTTATTCTTTTCTTAAAGTGTTACTAAACCCCGGACCCTGCATTCACTATATCTGGTCTCCCCGGACCCTGCATTCACTATATCTGGTCTCCCCAGACCCTGCATTCACTATATTTGGTCTCCCCGGACCCTGCATTCACTATATCTGGTCTCCCTGAACCCTGCATTCACTATATCTGGTCTCCCCGGACCCTGCATTCACTATATCCAGTCTCCCTGGACTCTGCATTCACTATATCTGGTCTCCCCGGACCCTGCATTCACTATATCTGGTCTCCCCAGACCCTGCATTCACTATATCTGGTCTCCCCGGACCCTGCATTCACTATATCCGGTCTCCCTGGACCCTGCATTCACTAAATCTGGTCTTCCCGGACCCTGCATTCACTAAATCTGGTCTCCCTGGACCCTACATTCAGTAGATCTGGTCTCCTGGACCCCGGACCCGGACCCTACATTTACTATATCTGGTCTCCCTGGATCCTGCAGTCACTATATTTGGTCTCCCCAGACCCTGCATTCACTAAATCTGGTATTCCTGGACGCTGCAGTCACTATATCTGGTCTCCCCGGACCCTGCATTCACTATATCCAGTCCCCACGGACCCTGCATTCACTATATCCGGTCCCCCCCCCGGACCCTGCATTCACTATATCCGGTCCCCCCGGACCCTGCATTCACTATATCCGGTCCCCACGGACCCTGCATTCACTATATCCGGTCCCCCCGGACCTGGCATTCACTATATCTGGTCTCCCCGGACCCTACATCTGGTTCACTATATATCCGGTCTCCTTGGACCCTGCACTCACTATATCTGGCCCCCCCCCCGGACCCTGCATTCACTATATCTGGTCTCCCACAGTACACACAACATGGAAATGTAATTATTTTAGTAAATATAAATTGCTAAATACCTTTTCTCATAAGCAGTTAGAGCAGTCTTGTGACTTCAGCAGAGCACTGATTAAAGCTTGTAGGAGATTTCTTTCTGCTCTAGGAATTTGTGAAACCCCTGACCTCTGTCTGGACAGTGCTGATTGGCCCTGTGCTGATCACATGCACCCTCCCAAGAAAAAAAAAAAAAAAACTATCTAGCAATACACACCAAACTGAGCATGTGCATGTAACCACGGGTTCAGTCTGTATCAGGTGGTCATTTCAACAAGAGGAGGGGCAGAGAAGTGAGGATTAAACAGACTTTTTACACAATGCAGATGATTAACCCCTGAGGTTCCATAGTGAGTATAACAAGCATGCTTTACTGCATCTACAGACTGATTGTACTGACTTTAATATTAAATGTCCAGCTCACCAATCACATTACCATGGACCATGTACTGTAGATATAATAATTTGTATCAAAGGTTTTCTGAGACCTGAAAATTATTTCAAGGTTTCCTCTGTGGTAGAAAAAGGCTGAGAAAAGCTGACCCAAGCGACAACTCGTAATGTTTCGTTCCCTATGAACGTCTCTCGGCGTGTTGGTTACTTATGGTTTCCTGTAATTATTTTTTATTTTGGCAGCAGATGCACTTGCTTTCCGCCCTTGGTGCGCAATGTATAATTTGCATATTTATTATATTTTCCCTTTATTTCAATACGGTGAGATCTGACCTTCAATTCTGAGTGAAAAATCAGCAATGGTAAATTTGCATTGCCTCGCAGACATTAAAGTGAACCTGCAGCAAAGCCTGGCTAATGCACATAAACTGACCGCCCTCCAACCAGACATTCTGCAGGTGAAACTCAAAAAATTTGAATATCGTGCAAAAGTTCATTTATTTCAGTAATGCAACTTAAAAGGTGAAACTAATATATGAGATAGACTCATTACATGCAAAGCAAGATAGTTCAAGCCGTGATTTGTCATCATTGTGATGATTATGGCTTACAGCTCATGTGGAAGGGAAAAGCGTGGAAGAAAAAGGTGCACAAGCAGCAGGGGTGACCGCAGCCTGGAGAGGATTGTCAGGAAAATGCCATTCAAAAGTGTTGGGGACTTTCACAAGGAGTGGACTGAGGCTGGAGTCAGTGCATCAAGAGCCACCACACACAGACGTATCCTGGACATGGGCTTCATATGTTGTATTCCTCTTGTCAAGCCGCTCCTGAACAACAAACAACGTCAGAAGCGTCTTACCTGGGCTAAAGAAAAAACAGACCTGGTCTGTTGCTCAGTGGTACAAAGTCCTCTTTTCTGATGAGAGCAACTTTTGCATCTCATTTGGAAACCAAGGACCCTGAGTATGGAGGAAGAATGGAGAGGCCCAAGGACCCCGAGTATGGAGGAAGAATGGAGAGGCCCAAGGACCCTGAGTATGGAGGAAGAATGGAGAGGCACAAGGACCCCGAGTATGGAGGAAGAATGGAGAGGCCCAAGGACCCCGAGTATGGAGGAAGAATGGAGAGGCCCAAGGACCCCGAGTATAGATGAAGAATGGAGAGGCACAAAGACCCCGAGTATGGAGGGAGAATGGAGAGGCACAAGGACCCCGAGTATGGAAGAAGAATGGAGAGGCACGCACTGCAAAATGCTTGAAGTCCAGTGTGAAGTTTCCACAGTCTGTGTTGATTTGGGGAGCCATGTCATCTGCTGGTGTTGGTCCACTGTGCTTCATTAAGTCCAGGGTCAACGCAGCCGTCTACCAGGAGATTTTGGAGCACTTAATGCTTCCTTCCGCAGACAAGCTTTATGGGGATGCTGACTTCATTTTCCAGCAGGACTTGGCACCTGCCCACACTGCCAAAAACACCAAAACCTGGTTCAATGACCGTGGGATTACTGTGCTTGATTGGCCAGCAAACTCTCCTGACCTGAACCCCATAGACAATCTATGGGGCATTGCCAAGAGAAAGATGAGAGACATGAGACCGAACAATGCAGAAGAGCTGAAGGCCGCTATTGAAGCATCCTGGTCTTCCATAACACCTCAGCAGTGTCACAGGCTGATAGCTTCCATGCCACGCCGCATTGAGGCAGTAATTGCTGCAAAAGGGGCCCAAACTAAGTACTGAGTACATATGCATGCTTCTACTTTTCAGAGGTCCGATATTGTTCTATGTACAATGCTTGTTTTATTGATTCCATGTAATATTCTCATTTTCTGAGATTGTGGATTTGGGTTTTTCATGAGCTGTAAGCCATAATCATCACAATGATGACAAATCACGGCTTGAACTATCTTGCTTTGCATGTAATGAGTCTCTCATATATTAGTTTCACCTTTTAAGTTGCATTACTGAAATAAATGAACTTTTGCACCATATTCTAATTTTTCGAGTTTCACCTTGTATAAACATGAATGCTCAGTGCAGCTGAGCCATCTTGTTTATTCAAGGGGGATCTGGCTGGAACAGATACTGTTAACATCAACTAATCGGGGGGGATGATAGTAATTGGTGTCTGATTAACTTTTCACTGAAGGGTACCAGGGAGCTCTTGACTGACCCACATATGTCATATTGCTATTTACACTGGATTTAAATGGCCAGATTGAGCTACTAACATCATCCAAGGAAGGCATAGTCTGCATCGAGGCTGTAACTATGTGCGATGGGGCCCCACTGCAATACCATCGAAGGCCCCCCAATGCTCTAATTCTCCATCTCAACATACAGAATACTAATCTCTTCCACAGTAATTATATGAAGGGCTTTCATACTTTATATAGTTGCATAGTTAGTCTGGCTGAAAAAAGACAAAAGTCCATCCAGTTCAACCATTAAAAAAAAAAAAAAGTTATAATCCTACACCCACAGTTGATCCAGAGGAAGGCAAAAAAAAAACAGCAAAGCACGATACAATTTGTTCCTGCAGGTGAAAAAAAACCTTCCTGATCCCCCGAGAGGCAATCGGATATTCCCTGGATCAACTTTACCTATAACCATCGGTTCACATCTGTGAGGGTGGTGCCGCTGCGGATCCACACAAAAATCCGTGCAGCCGCACCACCCGCACAGAAAATTGCGGACCCGTTGGCGGGTGTCAATAGTTCTAATGGCACGCCGCCCGCACTAGGAAACGCAACCGTACTGGGAACCGAGGTTCCCGTGCGGGCTGCGTTTTCAAAAGAAGTGCAGGGACTTCTTCCCTGCATGTCCCGGGCATGGGAGTCCATTCAAATGAATGGGCTCTTGTGCCCGTGCAAAACGTGTCCCGCACGGCCACATAGGTGTGAACCGGGGGTAAATGTTATATCCAGTTATATTCTGTGTATCTTTATACTTTTATCCAAATGTATTTGACAATTGCAATTTTCTGCCTGCCTTTATCACTATGTAGCCAATGTTGGGGCCTCATGACAGTTGGCTGGTCTGCTATGGCTGCTGTTTCACCCTTGTCTTCATATACACACACATTTATAATAGCATATAACTTGCTTTATGCTTTGCCTGGCTTGTTTTGCTACTTGGAGATTAAATCTCCAAACACAGAAAGGTTTCTTCACAGTAAGAGCTGTGAAAATGTGGAATAGACTCCCTCAAGAGTTGGTTCTGGCCAGCTCAGTGGATTGCTGTAGGAAAGTCCTGGATTGTTTCTTGGATACACAGAATATAACTGGATATAACATTTATAGGTAAAGTTGATCCAGGGAATATCCGATTGCCTCTCGGGGGATCAGGAAGGAATTTTTTTCCCAGCAGGAGCAAATTGGATCATGCTTTGCTGGGGTTTTTTTTTTTACCTTTCTCCACGGATGTCAAATTGGCGGCCCTCCAGCTGTTGCCAAACTACAAGTCCCGTGAGGTATTGCAAGATTGACAGTTACCTGACTCCGAATGGTAGAGGCACAATGGGACTTGTAGTTTTGCAACAGCTGGAGGGCCGACAGTTTGACACCCTGTGGGTGTAGGATTATAACTTTTTTTTCATTTTATGGTTGAACTGGATGGACTTTTGTCTTTATTTCAGCCAGACTAACTATGTAACTTCAGTCTTATCCTGTGTGCTCTGGATCAGCTTGTTCTGGTGTTGGGATCTTGGTGCTTCATGATTCAGGGACATACGGAGGGACCGACTGCAAGATAGGTAAGTATGCAGCAGATCAGGGGTTGGTGGAAGGGTTAAGGAACTTGTCTCACAATCCTGGTGCCCAACTTGAAGGCCAAAGTCTACATGCCACCCTATGATATTCCCCATGAGCCCTTACAGCCAGTGGTGTGAGTGGGAATATTGATTTATAAAGGGCTGCAATAGCAGCAATCTCTGGCAGTCTCATATAACACACCTTTAGCCATTAAACATCTCCTGTAGTATATCTCCAGTTTCTCACCAAACCTGCAGGATGTCCTCAGTCTCTGATTATCTTTGCCACTTTATATAAGATTATACAAACAATATTTATAATGTATGGCCCATGGGATAGTAAAAACTGGCAGTTTCTGATTGTTTGGTCAGAGACACATCCACACCATTGGCCTGCTGGAGGTCATTTTGTAGGGCTCTGGCAGTGCTCATCCTGTTCCTCCTTGCACAAAGGAGCAGATACCGGTCCTGCTGATGGGTTAAGGCCCTTCTATGGCCCTGGCCAGCTCTCCTAGAGTAACTGCCTGTCTCCTGGAATCTCCTCCATGCTCTTGAGACTGTGCTGGGAGACACAGCAAACCTTCTGGCAATGGCACGCATTGATGTGCCATCCTGGAGGAGTTGGACTGCCTGTGCAACCTCTGCAGGGTCCAGGTATGGCCTCATGCTACCAGTAGTGACACTGACCCTAGCCAAATGCAAAACTAGCAAAAAACAGTCAGAGAAGATGAGTAGGGAAAAAAATTCAGTGGCCTCCACCTGTAAAACCATTCCTGTTTTGGGGGTTGTCTCATTGTTGCCCATCTAGTGAACCTGTTGTTCATTTCATTAA